TTAATTGGGGGTGGCTCACATTTTCAGAAGTTTCATCTGTTTTCGTCATGGTGAGACATGGATGGCAGCATGCAGGCAGACGTGATGCTGGAGAAGGAGCTAAGAGTCCTATATCTTGACCTGCAGGTAACAAGAAATGAGCTGTGGCACTGGGTATAACTTGAGCATAGGAGACCTCGAAGCCTGCCCCCACAGTGACATAACTCCTCTAATGAGGCCACACCTCCTAATAATGCTACTCCCTATGAGCTTATGGGGGCCAATTATATTCAAAACACCACATTCCACTCCCTGGCCCCTATAAGCTTGTGACAATATCATAATGCAAAATGCATTTAATCCAACTTCAAAAATCCCTATAGTCTATCATAGTCTCAACAATGTTTAAAAGTCCAAAGTTCAAAGTCTCTTCTGAGATTCATGCAATCTCTTAACTGTAATCCCTTATAAAATAAAAATTAAAAACGGATAACATACTTCCAACATATAACAGCTCAGGCTGTTGAAATAATATATTTTCATTCTAAAATGTAGGGAATGGAGAATAGTGATGAAATACTGGACAAAAGCAAGACTGAAAACCAGCTGGGCAAACTCCGGACTCTGCATCTCCATGTCTGATATCAAAACGCTCCTCAGAACTCTAACTTCTTTCAGTTGTGTTGACCATAACACACTTCTTTCTCTTGGGTTGGTTTCACTCCCTGTTGGCAGCTCTCCTTGGTAAGTATCCCATGACTCTGGCATCCCCAATGTCTTGGAGTCTTCAAGGCAATCCAGGCTTCACTTTCACATCTTCAGGAAATGACCTCTGTAGGCCTCCATTCAGGGACACCCCTGACATATGCCTGCCCTCAGTGGCTTTCTTTAATCACTCCTTGACTCTAAAGTCAAAACCATGTGGCCAAAGCTGCCAAGTTCTGCTGCTTGCTGGGACTGGAACATACTCTCTTTGTTCAATTACATCTTTACCAACTTTCTGTTTTCCATGGTTTCCTTCACTGTCTTAGTTTGACTGTCCTAGAACTTGCTCTGTAGCCAGACTGGCCTTGAACTCAAAGGTCTCTTATTTCACCAGCTTTCTGTTTTCTATGGTTACCTTCACTGCCTAACCTTAGCTTTTTGGAACTTTCTCTGTAGACCAGGCTGGTCTCAAACTCAGAGATTCACCAGCCTCTGCCTTCTGAGTGCTGGGGTTAAAGGCATGCACCACCATACCTGGCTCTAAGCTTTTCTTTAATTCCTTTTCACAAGTTGGAAACTTAGCTTGGTGATATCTTGCCCTGAGGTCACCACTTCTTTTATTCTATTTCTTAATCCATTCATCTCCTTGAATACAGGACTTGGTTCCATTCCATTTCCTGGTGTTCTTTTTCTCCTCAAATTGTACATTTTGTATTTTTTTCCTTGCTCACCTTACTCCTTTTCAGTATAAATCTTATAACCATGAACATAAGTAACCACATGACAGAGTCTACACTAGGCTGTTTTGAGATTTCCTCTGCCAATGGAGTTAATCCAAATCTTTTCACTTTAGTTCCAGGCAGATGCTTTGGGCAAGGGCAAAAAGCAGCCACATTCTTGACCAAAATATCACAAGGACAATCTCTAGGCCACATATTAGTTAATATTCTCCTCTGAAACCTCTTGAGCCTGGCCCCCACATTCAGGACCACTGTCTTCCATGCTCCTACTAGTATGGGCCATTAAGCAGCACTTTAAAGCATTAAACTACTTTTCTAATCCACAGTCCCAAAGTCTATATTCCTTCCAACAAAAGCATAGTCAGACTTATCACAGCAATACCCAAGTTCCTGATACCAACTTCTGTCTCAGTTAGGGTTTCTATTGCTGTGAAGAAGCACCACGACCACAGAAACTCTTACAAAAGAAAACATTTAAATAGGACGGCTTACACCTTCAGAGGTGTAGTCCATTATTATGGTGGGAAAAGGCAGCATACAGGCAGCTATGGTGCTGAAGAAGGAGCTGAGAATTCTATACCTTGATCTTCAGGCAACAGGAAATAAACTGAGACACTGGGCATGGCTTGAGCATATATGAAATCTCAAAGTCTACTCCCACAGTGACACACTTCCTCCAATGTGGAAATATCTACTCCAACGAGCCACACTTCCTAATAGTGCCACTCCCTATGAGTTTATGGGAACCAATCACATTCAAACTACCACAGTCCCCCACCCTAAACTTCTTAGACTTCAGTATCTCGGCATATGACTGGATTTAAAGATGTGTGACGGTGGACACTGACCCAATATGACTGGTGTCCCATAAGAAAAGGAAGAAGAGACCATAGGCTTGTGTGTGTACTTGGGAAAGTCTATGTGAGGTCTTGGTGAGAAAAACAGGTACCTGCAATCCATGAAGAGAAATCTCAGGAGACACAAAAGCTGCCATGTCTTTCTCTTAGTCTTGCAGCCTCCAGAGCTGCGAGATCATGAGTTTCTATTTTGTCTCTGTCTATAGTATTTAATTATCAGGATTTTTTGGGGGGAGGTAGATCATACAAATTCTGACAACCAGTGGACTGTTCGGTGTAAGTGTGCTTGTTTTGGGTAAGATGGATATCTGTGCTATGTTTGCCCTCTCTACCACCAAAGGGGACAGGAATAGGGGACAGGTCAGGAAGACAACAGAGATATTGTATTATGTAAATGACTTTAAGGACGTACCATTGAAACTGTTCAAGAATTTTAGTGCTTTGGCATCATAAGTACCTAAAAAAAGACACATAAATACAAAATTAGTTTAGTTCATTTTTAGTGACACACATCCTTCTGCTTTTTCAGCAACGTGGACAAAGAACAGATAGCATGAAGTGAACTTCTAGACGGAGGGCTGTGAACATTGCACAGAGACCATAAATGTGCTTGAGCAGATGAATGTTTGAAAGATGGATACAATTAAAGAAGAGTCAAGAAAGGGTGGCGTAGAAGATATTCCTAGCCTCTGCTCCCCACCGCCTACCTCCTTCACATCTGTACTTTCAGCAAATGAAGCAAACAGCTTATGGAATTAGCCTCCCCAGCTTCTTACCAACAAGTAAAGAGCCTAGGAGGCCACAGACCCATGTCTCTCGGATCCCATGTGCCCCTTTCCCACACCCCTCTGGCACCTGGGAACATTCAGTTGCCTACCCCATCAGTCTGAAGTCCGCTTCCAGCTACTCTGCCTGTCTCTCACTGGTGTGTAATATGAAACCGAGAACCAGGAATGAGAAGAGAAGGGGCTGGGTGGCCAAGGGCACAGAGCTGGCCCTCATGCAGACTGGGATTCTGTCATTTACTACCAGAAAACTGCTGTTCTGAATTCACACCTGACATCCCATGTTTGTAGCAAGCTGTGCTTGTCAAAGTAGGAGGGCGGCATTTATTTCATGAGAGGCAGTGTGCTTGGTTTATAGCATTCCATACTGGTTACTTGGTAATGTGAACCCCGGTATTAATCAGCTTTCTGACACTATGAAAAAAAAAATACCCAAGACAAACAAATTTAGAAAGGTTTATTTTGCCTCATAATTTCAAGAGATTTGGTCCATAGTCTCTTGACCGGGGTTGCTTTGGGCCCTTGGTAACACGGCATGGCGGGTGGGGTCACATGATTAGAGGCCTGTTCACTTAGCGACAGCTAGGGAGCAAAGAGGAGACAGGAATGTACTGGCCTTCCAATATCACCTTCCAGGACAGTCTTCCGGGGCTGAATTTCCTTCTTCTTTGCCCCCATCTCTTAAAGGTTTCAGACCTCCAGCAGCATGGTAGGCAGGCAACCAAGCCTCTGAGGAACATTCAAGACTCAAAACATAACAGCCATCACTGCGCATTCTCAGGGGCAGGCTGCCCTTCACCCCGGCCTCTCTCCTCAGCGCCTGCCTCTGACGAAGCCAAGACCTTCTTTTTGGTGAATCCGAAGCTAGTTGTCTGTGTATTTGTTGATATGGAGCCCTTTTGCCTACATTTGTCATTTTATCCTGAAAGCATTTTTACAAAGATATGCTCAACTAAGTGTCGGTAACTAAGTTGAGATTTGCAACCTTGATGCTTGGTTCACACGTAAAAAGAGGGAAATGACCTATGCTGTTTTTGATTATTGATTCAACAGTTTGGCATTTGCGTTCTGGTTTTCTATTTTTTCCAATATTTTATCAAGCCACACTGTCATTTGTTGGTTTTTCTTCCAATCCCAGCTGCCACAACAGCTTAGAAGCATCTGTATTAGCTGCCATTAGTTCAGTGGCCTCAGGACACGGGCGGTGTCTGTCATTTTTCTTGGCTGTTATTGTTTGCAATTTTATGTGCAGAGAATAAGATCTTCCAGCAGGTGGCAGCAGACATCTTGTAAGAAAGAAAACCGATTTCCATCCCATTAAGTAGACAGAGAAAGAGCAGGAGAGGAAAAAACAAAAACAGAGAGAAAGCACAAGACAGTGGAGCTGGCAGACTCTGCAAAACACTGCACTTCTCCCAGGGGAGGGGGCCGCGTGCCTCTTACAGGGTCTCTCTCTTGTCTCACGCGCTTGTTTGGGAGAAATTGCTTAGCTGAGGTGTTACATCCATGGCACACGCCTAAGAGATGGGGGGTTGAGGTGGGGTGGTGGCGTTTGGGGCACAGAGAGTCAGCCCTGAATCTTAACATCCCTGGGAAGGCCTGGACTAGCCGAGTGACACTGGCCCCTTCAGACTTTCCTCTCTGACCTGCTTTCAAAGACGCCCAGTTCCCTGCTCCTCTGGGCTATTCTGTATGCACCATGCATCCCAGTCTGGCTCCAGACTCCAAAACTGGACTCCCCCCACCTCCCACCCTCACCCCCCCACTTCCCCAGGCAGCCAATTTAGCCGGCTTGTCCTCCTTGCCTTTCTGGGTTGGCGGTTGCCATGGCAACCCCCTAGGCTCTTCAGGCTTTCTTAGTGACTGACCAGGCCTGGAAAACCATTTTGGAATCGACAGTGCCGTGTTTGTGGGAAATTTTAATGAAAGAGCAGCCTGACCTAGCTTCGGTGCTGCTCAGTGGAAATGGCAGGGACGTGAGGTGCTGCTGAATCGGAAGGGGCAGCGGCTGCCAGAAAGATGGACGACTTGGGAGATGAGCAGGGAGGCAGAACAATGCCCCTGCCCTTTGTTACTGCCTCATTTTCAGGGAGAAGGGCTCTCTGTCACGAGTGGAGTGATTCTCCAACACGGTGCGGTGCGGGCATTTCAGGCCACGCAGACACAGGCAGTTCTTTTCCTGGGTGTACACTTAAGCTTATTTTCATTCATGAAAAGAGGAAAGCAAAGCAAAAAAATAAAAATAAAAAAAAAGCCTTTCTCTCTCACAGATAAATGTGGGGGAAATAGCTCTGACAATGTAGACGTGAAGTTCACCTTTGTTGTGCATTTTTGATTTTTCCAATTTCCACTGGTTCTGCGGCAGGCAGCCTCTAAGGCACCCTCTGTGAATCTTGCTCTGAGCATGCCTGCCCGGTGTGTCTCTTTCCTTTCAACACAACCTGGACTCATCAGCCTGCTTCTGATGACCAGAATACAGCAGAAATCATGGGATGCGACTTCTGGAAGGAGGCGGGGGAAAAAGTGAGTTTTGTCTGTGTGCCTCCCTATCACTAAAATCCCTTCCAATTTTGCCTTGAGATGCCCCAGTTTCTCTGCTGGTGGCTTCATTGCTCTCTGGTGGGGGAACAAGCGCCAGAGGACCCAGCTGAGCTAGGGCTGGAGCCTTAATCCACAGAGACGGTCAGAAAATAAATTGTCATCTCAAGCAAGTACATTCGGGGGGTCTGAGTTAAACAGAATTTGGTAACTAATAGAGCCATTTGTTTTTTGTGCTCACTTCTGTGTTTTGGACTCTTGGGAGTGCTCTCGGAATCTCTCCGGTTGTATTTAATTCCATACTTATCACTTGCATTTCTAAGAGACATAAGGCAGGTCACCAGCTCTCAAATTTTCAGTTTCCTCATCTATTAAGAACTTAAAGATGAAGTTGATAGAGTTGTCCCTCAGTATCTGTGAGAGATTCTCTCAAGATCCTCCTGCACGATGCAAATGCATGATGCTCAAGCACCTTGCATAAACGGCATCGTATTTGCATATAAGATGTGCACTTTGCACATGTGCTTTAAATCACCTCCATGATTGCTTATAACAGTCGGTATGATGAAAACGCTACATAAGTAGCTACCAGACAATATTGTTTAGGGAATAATGACAAGAAATCTGCACATGCTCACTACAGATGCAATTTTTGTTTAAATTTTCCATTCAGTATTTGAGTGGATCCAGGAATGCAGAACACAGACACTGAGATCTGGCTTTACTTGTAAAGGCCTTTGAACATAGAGAATAGAAAATGCTTGATAAACTAGATATATCACTATTGAACACGAATCATTCACATTTCCGTGTACAGCTTTTTCTGTAAGTCTACACCAATCATCTATCTCCAGTGACTGAGGGGCTGACCAAATCAACAACTATTAGCCATTGCATATACATTCTAAAGAGGGACCCATGCAGACACACGAGCTGGTGCTTTTACAAAGATGCTGTGATCCTTGAATCATCTTAACTCTGTAAAATCTGTCTGTGAAGGCTGTGCACTGAGAAGGTCATCACCTGGGTAGTCAGGATGGCCTACAAGCACTAGGGAGAGGCTTCTGGAAAGCTGGTCATTCTTGGACTCGGCAAGATAACTACGTCTCTGATGAGCTTGGAGTGAATGAGGGGCCTATATAAAGTCATAAACATTGACTGGTCCCTGCTGTTGGAATGTAGATTGCACCGTGCACAGACAGCAGCTCTATGGGTTCAGCATTGTAATCCTCTTCAACCTCTGAGCAAAAGTGGGAAATTCTGGGGAAATCTCTAGGGAACTGAGAGGCCGTGGTACTTGCTGGAGAAGTTGGTGGTACCTTCTCCAGGATGTGGACACAGCCCAGGCTGGCATTAATATAAACATACTAATATAAACAAATGTAAGTTGAATAGCTCACTCTTCTTATGCATATGAGTGCATGAGTAGTGTGTGCGTGCGTGCGTGCGTGCGTGCGTGCGTGCGTACGTATGTATGTGTGTGCACTCATAGGCTAGAAGAGAATGTCAGATGCCCTGGTACTGGAGTTACATGCTGTTATGGATGCTGGAAACCAAACCACAATCCTCTAGAAGAGCAACAAGAACTCTCAACCAATAAGCCGTCTCCCCAGTCCCCAAATCTGTTTACTCTTTGTCTCTCTCAGTGTTTGTGTCATAGCTAGGAAAATTCAGAGACTTGCTATTTTCCACATGAATAAAACTAAAAATATATGGAAGTCAAGTCACCTACCCAGTCACACACATAGACAGAGCAGGGACATGACATCTGCCAATCTGTCAGTGGAAGCTACATTCTTATTAGCTACAGGAGACAAACAACTCTCTAGGGTATTTTCTAGGATCCACACTTGCATGCTACTAGGCTGACAAAACTTAACCTCAGACAAGGGAAGCATGTCACCACTCATTTTCTGATGCTTGTGTTTTAATCTACAGGTGGCTGTGAGAACTCTGGTTTGGGGCATCAGAACACACAGGCCATAGCTACTTTGTTCTTTAAAGTTCTGAACAGGCCTCAATTGCTCCATGATCCTTTCGCTACTTAAGAATCAACCAATAATCAACAACCCAGGTCTGTGTTCCAGAGACCCTATGAGAACTTCATCGCAATGCAGCCTCCACAGAGGCGCTCAGTCTGGATCTGCTCCCTCCTCAGCAATCTGTGAGCAATGGCTGTGGGGGAAAACTAGCCTTTAAGACTGTGTTGTCATCCTCACTTGGTTGGATGGAAGCAGTTGGGTGAGAACAGGGTGGTATGCCATTGGCAGCCAGGGCCTAGTCTCTGCATACTTTAATGGCTGCTTCCCTCACATCCAGATACATTGAGAGGAGGCTACTATTTCCTGGGATTCCATTTATATCCCAAGAACAGTCTCACAAAGCCTTTGCCAAAGCTTTTCTTCAGACAAGCTAGCCTTGTGGCTAATTCAAAGAAAACACTGTTGAAAGCCTTTTGTGGTACAGATCCTCTGAAAATCATGGGTAATTAGAATATTTTAAATCTACAATACATTTTTGTTTGATTATTTGTTTGTTTGCAACAGTCTCACTTTGCAGCCCAGACAGGCCTGAAACTCATGATCCTCCTGCCTCAGCCTCTCAAGTACTAGGATTGCAAGCCTGCCCAGCCCCACCCTTAAACCTGAAATACTTTGAAAGGTAACAGTTTGCTTGAAAGAGAAAAGAAAGTAATGAAAGAGATGACAAAGAAAGAGGAAATAAAAGCAGAGGAAAGAGCTGTTAGTGAACCACTTAGCATCACTGTGTGGATGTTGTGTCTTCATTGGCTTATGGGGACCAATATCATCTCCATCACTTCATTACCAAGTACTGCCTGCATCCTCTGTGACTACATCCTCTGCATCAGACACCGAGTCCTGGGAACTACATGCATCATCTTCAACCACACACTCAGAGGTGCCCCAGAGTGGGAGAGGCATCCCAGAACAGGTAGTAACCAGCTCACAGCACTTATTTAGATAGCCTGTGATGGGTCAGGCAAATCCAGGCAGAGTGCTTGCTAAATAATGCACAGAATGTCATCTCATGCACACGTTGCTTATGCACCTCCATCCAAGAAGGAATTTCAAACAGGAGTCTACAGAATTCACTGAGTTCGGGGGTGATCATCCTGACTCAACTGTTCTATCCTCGACTAACTCAACCCTCTCTCTGCTCCTGACCGTATCTCCCCAGCAGGCTGATAGAGTTGTAGGACTGATCTCCCCAAATTGTCACTCTCTTCAGTATCCAAAAATCAAAGCAGCAAGATTTCTGGCTGTTTTTCCTAAGCTTCCAACTCAAGGTTTTGAAAAAGGAAAGAAAAAAAAGAAAAGGCCTATAAAACATTTTCCTAATGAGGTAACTCGTTTATGCACTGGCAGCCACTAGTGGATCATTATGAATTCATTTACTAAATTAATCAATCAATTTAGTCATATAATCGGATCAAGTAGATCACAGGCCAGCCTGCTCTGGTTTGATTAATTAGATGACTTGAAAGATCAGACAATTAGATCACACTAATCGCATGCTTTTTACACTCATTTCCCAGATGGAAAATAAAAGCCCTTTGCAGCACGCTCCGTGAGTTAGGCTGAGTGTGCCTGTGGTCTTGGGCTCTAGCCTGGCTCTGGTTTTAGAAGTCCATACTCTGAGATACAGGATTTTCTGTGAACAAATAATTACAAAATGGTTTAAAATGTCACAAGTTTGTCTGACATTTCTTTATGGGGCTAATGTCAAATCGTTCACAGAACTGAATTCTGGAGGCGTGGGGGATTTCCCCAGCTTCTTGAGGCTACCCAGCTACCTGTATTCGTTGGTTCACAGTCTCACCACTATTCCCTGCCCCTGTCACCTGTCACATCTCCTCCTGCTAGCACTTCTGTGCCCCTCTTCCTCTTGCAGGGACCTTTGTGATCATGCTAAGCCTACCCAGATGGTTGGGTAGGCTTAGTCCCTTCTCAAGTCCCCTATATTAACTCCTGCCAAATCCCTTTTGCCCTGTAAAAGAACCTTCCAAAGGCTCCAGAGTTAAGATATGAACATCTTTGGGGGCCATTATAACACCTCCCACATAACCAAGGTCATGGCCAATTTCAGAGACCATAGTAACACATATGGCCCCTTACAGCTATGCCTATGTTCAGAGCACTGAAAGGCTCTCTAGCCACTCACTCAAAATTCTGCCACATCTCCTACAGCTCTTAGAATCAAAGGAAACCTATGAAATGTAGCTCAGCCTCCAGAAACTCCTGCTGCCATAGAAATGAACAGCCTGAGAGGACCAATAACCTGGCTCATTAACAACCATCACCTACATAATTATATTATTAATTTAACTATAATTAATTATATGTGGAAAGATCAGATGACAATACTTAGAGCTTGGGACCCCAGGCCCAGTTTCTGACTTCAGAAAAAGATTTTAAAAATATCTTCTTCTATAAAATATGCTAGCTAAGGTCAGGGTCTAATTACTGATCAGCTATATCAACACACGTTAGGTACAGAAGAAGGGTCTTAATTTTCTTTTAAAAATTGCCACTGTGTGTGTGTGTGTGTGTGTGTGTGTGTGTGTGTGTGTGTGTGTAACACACATATTATCTTTTAGTTTCTTGGTTATTTACTCTCACCAAAACAGAGCAGTTAATAGGATCCTTGGCTGGGAACTGGGGCTGAAGTCTGTAGGAGTGAGAATACGAGAGATTAACATATGGTGTGTGTTAGCAAGCAGAGGAGGTGCCAGTTAGAAGCTGGCTGGGTCATCACTGAAGTTGTACCCTCTCTTTGTGATCACAGAGTACCACTGACCAGGTGGCCTGAGACCACAGAGGTTAACCACCTCCCAACTCTGGAGGTGGGACTTGTGAGGTGAGGGACATGGCAGGCTTGGCTCTCCTGGTGGTCTCTCTCTGTAGCTTATCTCCTTTTAGCATCACAGGGCCTTTCTTTGTGTCCACTTATTCTCCACTTGCGATAAGGACACCAACCCTCTTGGATCAGAGACCACTCTAAGGACCTCATTTGTGCTAATTACTCCTTCAAAGGCCCTAACTCCAAACACACTCATATCATGTGGTGCAGAGAATTAGCTTATGAATTTGAAGGTCAAAGTTCAATCTGTAATGGAGGTTTGAGCAAAGCCAAGACGAGCTGGCAGCATGTGGAGAAGCAATAAATGCATGTATTGGCAGTAGAGAAGGCACCAGAGGAGGCTTTAACTGCACAAAAGAGTTTCATGTCCCTCTAGTTCTAAAGAAAGACATGACACAACTGTAGTAAGGAGGCTCCCAGGCACATCCTGGGCACATGTGCATCACATCTGCATGACTCATCAGTAAGCTTTAGTTTCAAGGTTTGGGGGGTCCTCTCTCATCTCCTTCACATCAAGTGCTGTGTCCAATACTTTGAGTACCAAGAACATGGCTATTTAAAACTGGCTGAAACTCCGTCTTCAACCTTTTCTCAGGAGACAGCCATTCAAAATGAAGGATATATGCAATTTTCTCCACTATGTTTCCTTGGCGACAGAAAACTCTGACATATAGAGCATTGCCCTAAAACTTCTCAGCCCTAATTTCCTCATTTCTGTCTTTTAAAAAAGAAGACATCATCCAGTATGATTCTAAGATGTATTATTTAGTGAGACTGGAAACTCAAATCTACTTATGAAGCTAGAGAAAATTACTTAATTTATGCTGCCCGGGGAAATATTAAATTTTAGTTATGGTTACATAATAGCTAAATATCAAATGAGGATGCATATCAATAAAGAAAAACATTTTTTCAGAACAAGCAATTGATGTGCTACCTTTATTTTATTATTTCAGCATTAATCACTTCCATAAGGCAAATTGCTGTCTGTATTAGTTTCCTGGAGATGTTAGAATACTGTTTGACATTGGATGGCTTAAATAGCAAAAACACATTGTCTCCTGCTTCTGGGAACCAAAGTGTGGCAGGGTTGGCTCCTTCTGAGGACACTGGGAAAGAAGTGACCCAGGCCTGTCTCCTGACTTCGGGTGGTTCCACAGCTTCTGGCAGCTCCATTAGTCTCTCTGAGGTATTCAGCCTGTGCAGGTGGTTGGGTCCACAGGTTGCAACGCACAGTGGGTAAAGGGTCCACCTACTCCTGTGCTCTTACCATAAGTAGTTCTAGCTGCAAGGACCCTGTCTTGATTTGTTTTCTATTGCTGTGATGAAACACCATGACCCAAAGCAACTTGAGAAGGAAAGAACTTATTATTGCTGAAGTTATCTCCAGTCCCACTCAGACCCAAATAAACACACAGACGCTTATATTATTTATACTGTTTGGCCTAATGGCTCAGACTTCTTGTTATCTAGTTCTTATATCTTACATTAAGCCATTTCTATTCATCTATAAGTTGCCACATGGCTCGTGGCTTACTGGTGCTTCACATCTTGCTTCTCATGGCAGCAGCGGCTGGCAGCATCTCCTGACTCAGCCTTCCATTTCCTAGAATTCTCTTCTCTGCTCGTTCCACCTATACTTCCTGCCTGTCTACTGGCCAATCAGCGTTTTACCTATCAACCAATCAGAGCAATACATTCACAGCATACAGAACATCCCACAGCAACTTATACCACTTCATGGTTTACAGTCCATCATTGAGGAAGTCAGGGAAACAACCTAAGGCAGGGAGGGACCTGGAGGCAGGAACTGAAGCAGAGGCTATGGAGGAGTGCTGCTTGCTAGCTTGCTCTTCAAGGCTTGGTAATCTTGCTTTCTTATATGACCCAGGACTACCAGACCAGGGTAACACTACCCTCATGGGCTGGGCCCTGCCACATCCTTCATTAAACAAGAAATTGCCATCCAGACTTGCCTATGGGCAGTCTGATGGAGACATTTCCCCACTTGAGGTTCCTCTTCCCAGATAACTCAAGCATGTGTCAATTTGAGAAAAAAAAATTAACTGAGATTAGACCCTATTTCCAAATTAAGTCACTTCTGAAACAGTTAAGGTTGGGACCTCAATGTATGAATTTGGTAGGTGACATACATTCAGCCATCACACTGTCAACTGGTAGATTTTTTTAATTAGTATAGATATTTAACTCCCTTACCTTATCTACTTCAAAAGAGAAATTCAAGATTAATCAACATGAATATTTACTTTCTTTGTTGACAATTAAAAATC